GGGCCGGCCTAGCCGCTGGGCCGAAGAGCCCGCGCCCTCGGCCTTGCCTTGGGACTGGCATAGTGTCTGGCAGCCTCGCTCGGGAGTGGGAACTGAGCCCTGGGGGAAAAGGAGGGACTGGGAGGTTAAAGAAGGAGGAGGGGGTTGGGGAGAAGGTAACAGGCACCCACACGGCTCAGCTGCCTGTGTTTCCTACATGGATGAAGCTAATAGCATTCTTGGTGTTTTCATTTAAAGCTAGTCTGGTGGCCTGTGTTCATGGGAAGCCTTAAAGGAAGGAAACTACAGATAGGGTTAAAATTTGCATTTGGCTTTAGGACTGTAGCTATGCAAGTTATGGGTGTAAAGTATTTATGTTAATGCAGTGGTTTATCATATTAACTTATAAATAAGCATTGCAGCTATGGAGAGTCCCTTTGCATATTGGCGATGCCTGTGTCAGACCTGGGTGGCTCCCAAGCAAAATATGCAGTCTTGGATGTTGGAAGTTTCAGATTGTTAAACACAGCAAAATCTGTCAAAGGTCTTGAGATTTAAAATTCTTTCTTCCACGTGGTGTGTAATTAAAAGTTGGAATTCCCCAAAAGGCTTAAACTAGTGTCAAATATGTACTGGAACTAAAAGGAGTGATTCTGAAATCAGTTGTGTATCTCAGCCTTTTGTGTTCTAGCACAGGAACCTGATTATCTTGAAAACCAGTTGAATACAGTAAAGTACAAGTTCTTTGCTACCCTGAGCTTTGTCAGCAGCTGGGTGGCTGAAGTCCTGAAACCATGCTTAAATATTATGCATGACTATATTCTCATTTACAGTTTTGCAGCCTTGATTAACTCTGCATTTAATTAGACACATAGGGTCTTTAAAGAGGTGACAAAAATAAAAAGAATATGAAGGTAGTAAATTATCACTTCTTGTCATTTGTTGAAACTTTAAGAGTTCTGTATTTGACTCTTCTGGTCTGTACAGTTATTTCTTGTCTTGGGTTGCCAGTGGTAGCACAAAATCTGCAGTTATTGCTAAAGTCTATAGAAGCAGTTTTGAATATATGTTAGTTAGGTTAATTAATCTTTGGATTGATGAAACTACATGCTACATCTAAAAATAATGAGCTTAAGTGCAGCTTTTATGTTCCTAAATATGATTTATTTTTTTTTGTGCCAGAAATGCTACTTACAGTTTTCTTTATGCAAATGAGTAATGCATCCTTTTTAAAACTTTGTGTGTAGGAATGTAGATTTTCATGCTGGACAAGACATCACTTCCATGATCACGTCCACTGAAAATGAAGCAAGACTGTACTAGAAACAGTGCTTACACTGTGGATTGTGAAGATTACGTGCACGTGGTAAAATTCAATCCATTTGATAATGGAGATGCATGTTCCCTCATTGCGTATGGTGGCAATAATTACGTAGTTATTGGGACTTGCAGATTTCAGGTTAGTTTGTGTAATTGTTGATTTTATTAGTTGCTTTCTGAAACTTACTTTGCGAGCACCTCTTACAGCACAAAGACACTGGTTGCTTACCTGTTTCTTCCCCTTCCCATGTAACTGGGGAGGGTTTTACTTATTATAAAACAAGTCTGGGATAATTGTTCTTGAAAAAAGAAATAAGTTTACATATATATATATAAGATACATATTAGTATAAATTACCTTACTGCTGGTATAAAGTTCCTTCTGAATAGAATTATAGAGTGGTTTGGTTTGGAAGGGACCTTGGACCTTAAAGACCATCTAGTTCCAACCCCACTGCCATGGGCAGGGTCAACTTCCACTAGACTAAGTTGCTTTAATCCCCGTCCAATCTGGCCTTGACCACTGCCAGGGATGGGGCAGCCACACCTTCTCTGGGCAACCTGTGCCAGTGCCTCACCACGCCCACAGTAAAGAATTTCTTCCCTATACCTGCTATAAATCTACGCTTTTTCAGTTTAAAACCATTACATCTTGTCCTATCACTGCACTTCCTGAATAGACTACAAAAAAATTAGGAGTACTCTACAGGAAGAGTAATCCCGTTTTAGGATCTCTTGCTAATGTTGGTGACTGCTGTCTGAAAACTGAAGCACGCAACTTTGGAAATAAGTGACTTAATATTTGCTGTATATTTTTCTTTATTATCACAGGATAATTGGCTCCTTTTTTTGCATAGTTATACTTTGTTCTATGTACATTTGCTAATTAGATTAAATTATCTTCTAAAGCTTTCAGCTAGCATGCAAAACAGTGAATGCTGCAACTACTTTCACCTTTACAACTAGTATCTGTTAATTTTATAAATACTTCTTTTAAAGAAGGACTGTAGAAATTTATTTTTTTTTAATTTCTGAATTGTTTTCATTGGCTGTCCCTCACAGACTGTTAGAAACAGTAAAATATGTTTTCTTACCTTGAAATTGTGTAGTCGTATTACAAAAGTTTTTTAAATGTAAAGTACTGTGTAGTGTATATGCTGCATAAGATTTTTTTAGGTTAGGGTTTGGTTTTGGTTTTTTTGTGGGGTCTTTTTGTGGTGTGGTTTGTTTTTTTGTTTGTTTTGTTTTTTTGTTGGTTTTGTTGTTGCCTAGATGCTTGAAAGATTCAGGAGACAACTGTTATCTTTGTAATCTATTTTTAAGCTTTTTTCCTCAACTCACTTTTCAATTACACAGTATTTTTTGGTATTTTATCTAATATGCATAACTGCTCTTATTATTCTTATTATTAATCCCTGAAGTCTTACTGTTGGAAATTCTCTGAAAAGCACCTAGTGCTGACCGCAAAAACATTGTCATCTGGTATTGCCCTCTATCTTGTTTCTGGTGTAGGCCTTGAAAAGGAGCTAAGTAACATTTTGACAGCCACTGGTACAAGATAGTTTTCCTGTAATTTTCATATCCACCCTTCCACATGTGGAGTCACTGAGTATTTCAAAATTCTTAGCATGCTGTTACAAGTGGCATTAGTTGTATCTGTGAAGATATTACTTGCACAAAAAGTATGCTCAGCATTTTTGTAGCTCAGTTCTGCTTTTTCTGTTCTGTGTTGGCCTCTGCCTTGAGACTGCAATCATTTAATGTTAATGTTAAGTACTTACATATTTCACATTAATACTTTATGTTCCAGGTTTTCACTTTAATGGTGTTATAATCTGAAAAGATCCTAGGTACATTTTTAAAGCCTTTTAATTCCATATCAATCTGAATTGTTAGAAGTCATCAAGACATTGTTCCAGATTAGCTAACTACAGTATTTCTATAGGAGGAGGATGCAGAAGTGGAAGGCATGCAATACAAGACACTAAGAACTTTTCATCATGGAATCAGAGTTGATGCCATAGCATGGAGTCCAGAAACCAGGCTTGATGCTTTACCTCCCCGGATAAGGTATTTAGAAAAAATGAGTACAACGAATCCAGGTCGCTAATCTGTTTTCCTTAACTCCTTAATATGGAAGTATGTTTAAAGCTTATGGGTGAAAACTGACTCCATAGAAATCACTGATGAAGTCTTTGAACGCTTGCTTTAGCAGAACATTTTAATTCTGAGTAATGGGGGTGGTGGTGGTGTTCTACTACTTGTGTTGCTTACGCCTCCTCCCAGTAAGCTAGGAGTAACTTTTTTTCCTTATTAATAGATCTAAAACGTAGTTAGCTCTTTCTCTGTACATCTGTCAAGAAGGAATTCTTTTAAGAACTTTACTAAGGATGAGACTACTGTAATGGCATGCTATACAAAGCTGTTTGTAATGTTCTGCATAATAAGGGCTGTGTTTAGGAATAGGTCAGATGCTATTGTGACACCCATTAAGGTGCAAATCTAGAA